CTTTACAAATGCAGCTACTCTCCAAGGGTCTTTCTTCCTTGCTTCAGTCCTCCCTTCACCACACTCCCTGTTAGCTACTGTGAGTATACCCCTAAACTTCCCTTCCAGCCACTGAAGGTTCATTCCATTTCTCCTAATCCTCTGTTTCCAGATGTTTGCAACAGTCTTCCAGGGAATGTCTTATTCACAGCTAAAACTCAATATTAAATTCCTTTTTATATTCTTATGTCTTATAAAATATTCTATTTTATATTGTATTTTATTCTATATAAAATATTCTATTTTATATTCTTAATATCTTATTCACAGCTAAAACCCAAAATTAAATTCCTTTTTCCTCCAAGCATCCTCCTCCTTTGGGTTGAATTCATATTATTGGCATTGCCATCCTTAAAGCCTCAATTTCACATTTGATTCTATTTTTCTCCCACAATACCAATATTAAGTTGGTTGTAAAGTCCCATTGTTTTAGCATTTCACCATCCAGCATCATTACTATGTCCAGTCTTAGACCCTCATTCCCAGTCATCTGGATGAGGGGAATAACATGTAGCTGGTCTTCTCCTTGTCGTCTCATTTTCTTTTGATTCGCCTTACACATGACAGTGGAAATATTTACAAATTTAAAGTAGCATTCAGGCAGGGTGTGGTGGCTCACCCCTGTAATTCCAGCACTTTGGGAGGCTGAGGTGGGTGGATCATTTGAGGTAAGGAGTTTGAGACTAGCCTGGCCAACATGGTGAAACCCTGTCTCTACTAAAAATACAAAAAAAAAAAAATTAGCTGGGTGTAGTGGCAAGCACCTGAAATCCCAGCTACTTGGGAGGATGAGGTGGGAGAATCACTTGAACTTGGGAGGCAGAGGTTACAGTGAGCCGCGATTGTTCAACTGCACTCCAGTCTGAGTGACAGAGCAAGGTTCCATCTCAAAAAATAAAGTAGCATTCAAAACTCTCATTATGACCTAGCTGAAATCTACTCTACACTTCCCCTATTACCTTTCTGCTTCAGAGAAATGAACTACTACTCCTTTCTCAGCCACATCCAATTCTTCTGGCATTGAAGATTTTATTCACCCCATTTTTTGTCTGAATTGTCCTTTTTCCAAATTTACTTGCCTAATCCTCTGTGTTAAAGGCCTAGATAAAATACCACTTCCTTTAGTGGGCCTTTCCTAATCTTCTTCATCCTTCCCCACTTATATGTCCTAGAATGTAAATCCTTAAAGACAAATTATAAACTAACTGATAATCTTTGCCCCTGAAATGTACTCAAACTAGTGCCTTGTTCACTAAGATGCTTAATAAATACTTGCTGAATGAATGTGTGAATGAATTCATGAAAAAGTATGAAGATTGGTAATCAAAACATTTTGTAACAGGGTAAGTCTATGAAATGTTATTTTTTTACACAAGCAAATAAGGATAAGTTAAATCAATTACAAAATTTCAAAGAAAAAATTTACATCACTACATGTACTTATAAAAAGCCATCGCTTTGACATTTTTAACGGTATCTAAAAAGTCATCCATTTCTACTTTACCCGCTGCTGAAACCTAACCATATTCATCAAATGCTGAGCTCCAGGAGATAACTTGGGCCCCATGGACTCCATTATGGTTTGGAGCCTGTCTAGGTCTATTCTTGATTTTAGAGCAGGAGAGCTTGTTGAAGAATTTGAAACTGCTCTCGTGTGTATCACAGCTTTACTGATGAACACACACTGCCTTTCACCAAAGGACAGCAATGATTACAATACAAAGTTCAGGAAAATAAATAATAATACTAAACAATATTCACTATTTAAGGTCACTTCTTTGTATTATCAGCAACAGTAAAGTATTCAGGAAAACAAATATAAATTTTAAATCTATTTTCAAGTTTTCCCCAATACAGTAATGGTCAGAGGTTCCAATTTATTATGAAACTCAGAAGAACAATTTATATAAGACAATGTCATTTTCAAACTAAAAAAATATACTAAATACACAAAAGAAGGTAAAATTAAAGTTTCATTTATTTAAGCAACTCAAACTATGTCAATCTGAGACTTTAACACATTGCAGTTTACTATAATATTATTTAATATAAAATAAGGGTGTTCAGAAGCCCATCCAAAGTGTTTACTGAATTAGTAAATATAAGTGAGCCATTCAGAAATATAAGGCAGAGTCAAGAAGGTCTAATGCAACCCACTGGTTTACACATTTAAAAAGATGAAGTCAGGGGTAATTTTCTAACTTATCAAAGGATTACTCAATTAGTAAAAGTCAGGCTTGGAACCTAGCTTTCCTAGTTGTTATAACAGTGCCCTCTCCAATGCTTTATGCTGCGTCTCTTCATCCATGTTTATGAGCCAAAAGACATTTCATGTGCAGCACCGAAAACAGCATCAAAGTGGAAAGGAAACAGGATTTAGAATGAGAAAGACCAGAGTTCAATTATGAGTCTGCTCTTTACAGCCTATATGATCCTGGGCAAATGCCAAAACCCAAGTCAGAATTTAAGATGAGGGAAGATAATATCAACGATTTCACGTGGTGGTTGTGATTATGTGCGAAAATTTCTAGTAGAGTACCTACTACTGAGTATTTGAAAATATGTATCAGTAACTATTTTTTTTAACTTTCACATTCTGTTGCCTCAGAATAAGCTTTAGTATGCTTGGGATTTTCCTAAATGAAATGACCCTCTGCACTCACATATACTTCCACAGAATAGTTACAAAAAATACTCATCTTCAGAGACACATACAGAGCCATATGTAACCCAAAGACACAGGTCAATCCAGACCTATGGCACCAAAGATGTGACCATCCTTCACAATTAAGGAAACACCCCATTAAATTTAAACACTCACCTCTCATCCTCCCTATTATCCACATTCTGCTTCTTAATCCTTATAGCCTTTCTCACCACCAAATAAAACACAATTTTATTCAGTGTGTTCATTACCTGTCTCATCCCAATAGAATATAAGCAACATGACCTAGCTGAGGAAAACAACAGTCACTCCAATTTATTTTATTACTGCTGTTTCCTAAATGCCCACTACAGTCTGTATCTGGTATCAGTAGGCACTCAAATATTTGTTGAATAAATCACTTTATTTAAATGACTTTGGAAGCTATTAATACATACTACCCAAAACAATGTCTTGGAACAATCTGATCAGTAAGTCTGTTACTTGCTTGCTATAAAAATCATTAACTTTTTCCTAATTCTTTTTATTATTTTTTACTTTTTTGAGACAGGTTCTCCCTATGCTGCCCAGGCTGGTCTCAAACTCCTGGGCTCGAGGGATTGCCCTGCCTCGGCCTCCCAAAGTGCTAGGATTACAGGTGTGAGCCACCATGCCTAGCCAACTTCTTCCTTAAAGTAAATCTCACAACCCTGTATAAAGTAATGTGGAGATAAGAAGAATTCAATGCTTTATTTTCTTTAGTTCTCTACTTTACCCATGAGGTAGGTACAAAGAAATGTAGAGATTTTCCCAAGGTCACTCAGCCAGTGAGTAACATAACTGCATTAATACTTTGGGCTGATTTGTAGCTCAGCACTCTAAGATTCTGAAGACATCACTAAAGTTCACCTCAACAATATTTTTCATATTCAAGGGACCAGTCCAAATAGCTTTTAGGTGCTTTCCTCTTTAACATCTCTAATTCTTATCTTTTTAGATATAATGGGGCCAAAACGTGGTTTTCTTGGCACCATAGTTTCATATAAACAGGGACCAAGTTGGACTAACTGTATTAAGAAACCGACAGCACATATTATACATAAACATTTGCAATTGTCAAATTAGTTAAAATGTAGTAACGACCTACCTTTAATTTACAGGCATGAGTGGAGGATGCCAATATTAAATAATTTTGTAGAAAATAATTTTGTGTTTACCAAAAATAAAATAGAATAATTTTTTTCACTTGTATAAATTATCATTTTAAAGAGCTGCAGTAAAAAATAAATTGTTTCCAGGCTATTACTTAAATCCTGAGATTCAGTTTGCCGGGTAGGGGACCAAGAGTAGAGATCCCTTCTCAAGTGACCTAATTAATAACACTGTGTTGTGTATTTATTATTTCTAATATGCATAATTTATAAAATAGTTGATGTTTTTATTTTATTAAGGTGAGATTAGTGTAGAATGTTCCCATAAGGGACTAGAGAAAAGATCAAACTATAACACATTGCATATGGACTAAATAGGCTGGTGTGGCACAACCTTGGGCTTGTACATGTTTGTAATGCGCTTCCTTACAAAATATGTGATCAAATTCCAGACTGACTGTCAGATTAACTTCTGGAAAACAGACCATTGTGAGTTTATGGAGAGAGTCAAGAAGCAGCAATAAGGACTGCACTCTTGCCTGGACACTTTAACTAGTGTGACCCTCTCCAGGCTCACTTCCCTTTTACTAGCTCTAAATTTCCACATTCCTAAAAATGAAGAAGCTGATCTAGATTGCCTAGAAGATGCTTTAAGGGTGTAACCTTCTATGCCCATGGTACGTTTTTATCTTCTCCTCTCTAATGTAAGCATCAATGTCAGAGAATCAATCAATATTTCAAAAGGTGAGGAAAATCAAAACACTAATTCAGAAGAACACTTTCCCGTATACAAGTCGCATACCTGTCATCCAGCACAGTACAAACACTCTTGCCCCTACTGGTTCCACAGTATTTCTCTCCGAAGTACTCTTCTATATTTCTTGCTGAACTTAAAATGTCAAGAGAAGCGATTTCTTCACCTCCATCAGGGCCAAACTTCAGGTAAAGGAAGCAAGGGTTTATCATCTTGGTTGTCCAAGCTTCTCTTCAAAATCACCAGATCCTGGCTGAGGGGAAAACTGGTGAAAACATCACACAGTATAGTTCTCTGAACATGGCTCCTAGCCCACCTGTTAGGCCAGGGGGTTTCTTCTAACAGATGCTCAACACAGGATTCATAAGGAAATGGAGGCGTCACAGATCTGGGCTTCCCCCTTTATTTTTTCCTCAATCATCAACGTTCTACTCAGTCCCCTGCAATTGATTCTCCGATAAATTACTGGACACCTACTGTGTATAGGAGTGGGAGCAGAACGCAAGAAAAGACAAGGTGTATTTTTTTCGAAATGAAGTCGACAGCGGTCGTCTATAGCTGGACTTTTTACACAGCCTGTTTTGGTGGATAGGAGTTTGGCTTGTTTGGGGGTAGAAGGGCGGACTGACTTTGACAGCGGCCCCGACGAGCTGTCACGCCTGACGGGGACCTTCAGGGTCACCTTCCCCCGCCCATGCCCCGGGGCCTCCTCGCAGCCCCCCTCCCCGGCAGAGACCCGGCACCAACTGCTCTCCCCGATCCAGGGCTCAGACTCTCCCGCCGCCCCTCACAGCTTCCCGAGGAGCGCGGCAGTCTCGAGCGCAGCGACCCCGTTCCCGTCGACCCGGCGCACCCTGGAGCAGGTGGCGCCTGCAGCTCCTCCCAGTAGAAGTCACGGGCGCGGAGACCCGCCCGGGTGAGAAGGAGGTTGTGGGTCAGGGCCCTGCCCGTGGCATCCCAGGAGGAGGCCAGCGTGGGGCGGCGGGTGAGGCCCCCGTCCTCGGTCCGCGTCTCCATTCCGCCGCCTCCTGCCAGGTCAGCCCAGCCCCGGAACCTCTCTTCCAGTGCTCGAGTGTCGGCCAGGGCCGCGTGGAAATGGGCAGGCAGAGCGACTTCCGGCTCACTTCATGTCAAATACCCGCCGCCTGTGGCTTTGGTAGGGAGAGCAGGCACCAGAGACACGCATGCGCATGTACCTACTGGACTCAGCAGCGGCGTTCAAACTGTGCGGGGAAGCACGAAAGGGGAGCGTGTGCACTGGCAGCCCCTCGCTCTGGCGCTCGAGACTATGCGCAGGCGCGGTGTACTGCGCGCGGACACGAGGGCGGTTTTTCGACGCTGGCAGTGAACAAATGGCAGGCAGCATGGACCACGGTTGCTGGGCAGGATGGGGAGCGTCTGCGATCGGGTAGGTGTGGTCTGTTCGCTCTACGCGACGTGCAGGACCAACTCCTGACCTCGTTCTCTCCCAAGCGGACACCTGGGCCTTTTCCGCCTTCACTCCATCGGGTCTGCAGCATTTGTGGCAACGAGGCTGCTGACTCCTGTCGATTTGGGTTAATTTTACTCCGAACTCACCCTCCCTCCCTCCCAAGCATTCTCGCGTTAGAGGGGAGTTGAAATGGATATTGAACAGCGTTAGTGGTGGGTGTTGGGCCACGCAGGCTTTCCCAGGTGCCGTCTCAGCTGATGCTCCCTGACTGCACGGCGTGCATCAGCCAGAGCCACGGGCAGCCAGTGCACACGCCCTGCTCTTTCGCGCTTCCCCGCAGTTTGAACGCCGCTCCTGAGTCTAGTTGGTTCAAACTGGGATTGGGGCACCTTTGGCTAATCTGTCTTCCAGTGTCTGAGTACTAAACCATCTGAATAGAGAAGTGGATTGCTGTATCTTTAACGGTAGAATCAGTCAGGCCTTGCCTTGTCTTACGTGTGCTATCCACTTTCATCCGAAAGATTCAGGGAGACCAAGGATGACCAACTCTGCGCGAGCCTAGTTTCCTGAGTCCTGGAAGAGGAACCTCATATGGAAACCGAAAGTTTGCAAGAAGAAAAAAGCATCTTTCCTAAGGAAATTTAATATATTGCCAGATCCCTAGAAGAACTATGTTCAGATTTCGCTCACAGAAGTCTGTTGCATAACTGCCAGGGAGGGTGGGGTGCCCAGAAGCCTTAGTGCACCCCCTCTGTAGTCTCTGGGGAGCACCAGCCAAAGGGGTACTTCTCACTGGTACTGGGGACAGCATGTTTAGAAGGATTCAGAGATTCTGTGTGGTCCACAGATAGTAAGGGATACCTGGGTAACCACTCTTTGTGGTCTTCTCCCTGTTCCTAGAACTTTCCGGCTTCAGGACCCGAAGGTGCACATTCAAGAACGCAGGAGGAGTGATCTCCTGCTGGGGGCACGGGTGTGCATGGGGAGGGATGCACAGAGGCACAGTGGAACCATCCTGAGCATTCAGAGCTGGCCTTGCTGGTGCCTGATTAGTTGTCAGGTCGTGGGCAGGCACTGACACACATTTCCAGCCCATGTGGGGGACATAAAAGTAAACTGATAATGTTTTATTTTCTTCTTTTTTAAAGCTTCAATTTGACAGTTTAAGGCCTAGAAGTGTGAGTTTGAAGCGTCTGTACTTAAGAGTTTATAAATCTTTCTTGTCATGAAGGCCTCAACACTTGAATGGAGGCAAGTCTGAATGATGAGTGCTTTGGAGAAAATGACAGAACTAGAGAAATACAAGGAAACAGATATACAAGTATCATAAATGCACAAGCATACCAAAATTGCCTTTGTGGAGCAGAGGTAAATGTTCCCAGGGTTGTATTGATAATTTAAGTTTTATAAACTTATTTAAATGTAGTAAGAGAAATGACCAGTGGTGAAGGGTAAATGGATTAGATAGTAATTCAATATTTATTGCTTTAAAGACTGACTTAAGTAATAGCAGTAATGAATAGTGAAAATTCAATTGCAGCAAAGCTTGTTGGCTTCGTGGTTTGGACCAAAATGGTTACCTTTTATAAATGGCAGCATAGTAACCTAATAGTACGCAAAGTTCTCTGATGACCCCCAAGAGTCCAGCTCCCCATGCAGATATCCTGTATATTCTCATCCCCTAGAGGGCAGGCTGGACCAGTGAATATGATGGAATTGACATTCCATCACCCTGTGTCTAGGTTACTAATCAGCTGACTTTGAGCTAATCAATATAGATTATCTGAGTAGATCTGACCTTATTAGATGAGCCCTTTTAAAGAAGGTGGGTGGAGCATCAGAGGGAGGCTTTCCTGCTAGCCTGAAAGGAGAAGTAAACTGCCTTGTAGTGAGAGAGGGCCTGTGAGTGGGTGGCCTGTAGGAGCTGAGAGTGGCTTCGGGCCATCAGTCAGGAAGAAATAGGAATCTCATTCTTACAAGCAACTAAACTCTATCTGTCTCCATCCAATGAAATGTAAATGCAGAGCTGGGCCTGGCTTTTGGGGCTGGCAGCTCAGGGAGATCATGAGGCCACTGGTGTTTGGAGGTGGGAGGGGGAGGGGGAGATATAGGGGCTGAGGGAAGCAGCAGCAACCCAGGGTGATCTCAGTCCAGGTGAAATGAAGATCTATCTGTAATCACTGTCTACATCTCTTTGCAACATGCAGTGGATCTGTCCAGGGGAGAGGGGGCTGAAGAAGGAACCACTGAGGCCCATGAGGATGCTTCTATAGTCCTGATTTAGGCCCATGGAAAGAAGGGAGAGACCCCTGTAGACTTCCCAGCATGGCTAGACTGAGACTGAGGCCTTAACCTACTGGAAGTAGTAAAGATGTTCAGATGCTTTTGCTGTCTGGTCTTTCCAGTGTCAAAGGCCATTCTCGTTGGGATTGAGCTGCAGAATCGGGGCTTTATGGACCTCCCCCAAGCCTGGCCCCTTGAAGGCAGGCACTGCTGACTCGCCATGCTGACACTTCCTGCTTCAGCAGATTTTTTCCTTGCTGCGGCAACCATATAGTGTTCAGGTCAAGAACAGCAGGAGAGGTTGCTTGTTTGTTTCATAGAGAACATAATTGCCACTGGCTACTTTGCTCCTCATAGAAGATATTTGGCTTTTCACAAAGTAAGCCACCACAAGTTGGGTGTCTATCCATATAAACGTGAGACTGCTGGTCTTGGGACAGAGATTATAGTTGGTCTTAGTCTCTTCCTGGTTGCTGCTCATGCTGATTATGTCTCCTTCTAATGTGCCATGGCAAAGATGTGAGTCACTCACAAACTTGTGAGTCACTTAATGAGGCATATCCCTTCAAATGGGATACCTGGACATTCTCTGCTTCAACAGGGGCATTCCTTGCTGTGGCAGCCACATATGGTTCAGGTCAGGAACAGCAGGAGAGGTTGAAAGGCAAAGGCATGTTTGTGTACAATCTTGGCTTTTTTTTCCTCCTGGCTTTGGGCTGTGAGCTCATAAACAGAATGTTCTCAGCCTGGTGGCTCTGTGTATCAGTGCTGCCTTGTTGTCACTTTAAATAATTGAGTTTACTATTGGTTGTTTAGCTCAGCATGTTAGCTGAGCTCTTCCTCTGTCTGAGGTACTGTAGACTGAAGAAATTGACAAGCTGAATGATCTCCCTTTTCCTGAGCTAGAGAATTCTTGAACTGGTCTCTATTCTCCTCTCCAGTGCCTTAGAAATAGTGAGATGGGAAGCTGCATTTAGAAGCCCCTGGAGGATGCCTGACAAGGGGGTGTCCAACACATGATGAAGTTGGAGCTCTTTTTGAAATGTTTCTTGCTCTTCCTGGAGCAGAGGAGCCATTATTTATGCAGGTGAAATAAGATGAAGAACTCACTTCTCTTGGCTCATGTGAGTATGGAGAAGAATGCCTCCAAAGAAATGAGAGATTGGTTTGACAGGCTCAGTCTTGTCACATTTTGTGGAAATTAAGTCTGTGAGTTAGAGGGCAAATCCCAGAGCCCAGTGGCAGACTGTGACCTTCCTCGTCATCCTGCACCTGCGGGGGGTCTGCATGGATCACCTACCTAGACAGGTACTAATAAGGTAGAACATGGTAATCCATTACTAAGTTTGCAAATTTTTTCTCTTTGGTTCTCTTAAAACTGATTTTACAGCCATAAAGTTGGGTGAGGGAAAGATTAGATGGGAATTTGGGAGATGGGAAGAGAGGTGTAATCTGGTTCTGGGACACATTAGTAAAATGTGCCATCTGGATTTTATAAAGACTCAAAAACTGTCTTCAAACCTTGGCAGTTCATAAAATCTGATTGCATGTTGTATACCACAATCTTTATTCCTCTGAGAATAAAGGATTCAGTTAAGGAGATCCTTTCTCTGGGGCAAAACCCAGCTCTTCTCATGGCAGTTACCAGGGCCATAGCAAGGTCCTCGTTGGCACCGAGAGTCTGAAGGCAAAGGTGAGATTCCCAGGAGCAGAGCAGAAGGAGCTGTGGAGGAGGCACAGAGATGGGAACTGGGCCAGGTAGGGGGCTCACAGGCTTATGTAGTTTTGGATCCAGGACGTTTCTGTCACCAGAGATGCAATTTAGCAGGCATCAGGGTGTTTGCAACAATTTGACTCAGATGTTAGTCACAGGATGGGCAGTTTCAAATAACTGATTAGGTGAAAGTCCTTGTGGATGCGAATAACAGAGAATTTCCATAGAGATAAGGCCAGCCCCTGTAACAGGAATTGCATTGCAAAGTTTAACTCACTGATTTGAGCACAGTTGCTGTCTACCTTTTAACACGACCCTGTTCCTCTCACTACTCTTGAGTTGTCACCATAAGTGAATCATCGGTGAGATATTGCTTAGAATGAAAACATTAACAAAAATCAGCCCCTTCCTTAAATGAAATGCAACTGGATTTCCTAGCAGATCTTTCAGTTGACAGCCAAAAGGAATGGGGAGCAACACATCATTTCAGAGGGTTCAGGAAGGTTGAGAGTGGAAGAGCATTGGATCTGAGAATCAGGAGATGGAGGGAAGGGTTATAGAACCAGGTCCTAGTTTCCTTGCTGCTGGTGACTTGCTGTGTGACCCAAGGGAGTCACTTCCACTCCCTGAGCTTCAGTTTCCTCATCTTTCAAACAGGTTTTAGTTATTGCTTCCTGGTTGTCTTCATTGCAACTCAGAAAGATATTACTAAAACATATTGGAAGTTGTTAAATGTTGGTGACTTATAAGCAATGTAGAAAATATGCATTCTTTAATAAATGAAATAACATTGGTCAGGGTTTAACTGCTGTGTCTGAGTTACTGCACTGTCTAAATTTTGAAGCTTAGTCAGAGAAAGTGAATACCAGATTGACAAAATTTAGATTTCGATCATTGATCATAACATGTGCCAGCACCTAAAGGGTTCTAGGTCTTCTGATACCTAAGGTTGCAGAGCTCCTGCTCCCATGGAGTTCACAAACACCTTGAAAAAGCAAATGTTCAATGCACAAGCCAACAGACTATCAAACAGCAGTCAAGTCACCACAGAAATAGAGGAAAACCGAGAGACCATCTCTGTGGGAGAGTCCACAGGGCCTAACTCCTTAATGATGACCAAAATTGTTTAGGGTTATATCCCTCTGAACCCAAGTAGGGACCACAGACATCCGCTACCACACCTTGGTAATTTATTTTCATTTTTACTTTTAAATTTTTTTGTAGAGATAGGGTCTCACCATGTTACCAAGGCTGGTCTCCAACTCCTGGGCTCAAGCCAATCCATTTGTCTCACCCTCCTAACGTGCTGGGATTACTGATATGAGCCACTACACTTAGCCAACAATTCAAATTTCCATATAGGTACAAACAAAGGGCATGGATACATAGGGAGAGGAATAATTAACACTGGAGGAAGAGAGGTAGAAATCAGTGAAGGTTTTATAGAGGACATGGAATTTTATTGAAGTCTTGCAAGATTGGTATTTCAGCAGATAGAGGAGATGAGGAACAGGGAGGGCCATCTAGTCAGGCTCTGAGGCATCAAAATGCATGGGGTGTAGGGTAATGCAGAGGGAGATGAGGCTGGAAAGATGTTACATTGTGATATGGACTGGATAACACATGCAGAGGACCCAGGGTACAAAGTTTAAGGAGACATGTAACGGCCTTTTCAGGATTGGGCAAGTGTAGGGTTGGTGCAGAGGTTGTGGCTTTTAAACAGTTGATTGATTAAAAAATTTCCCGTATGGGGGACTTCCACTTATGGGAAAAGATACTTTTTCTTATTCTTCTGAAGTACAACTAAAATCTATGGACATTATGTACAAAACAAACATAAGACTTGAATAGGTGGAGAGAAGAAGGAAGCCTAGCTAGGGACCTTGGGATCCAAGTAATAACATGGTAGCGAGTTCCCTAAGTTTTGTTTTTTTTTTTTTTTTGTCTCAGATTTCTAAACTTGGAGCTGAAGAAGGAAGTAACTTGGAAACACCAATGGGTTCAGACAAAAGAGCCCCAACAAGAGACTATTTTTTCTGGCCCAAAGACCAGGAAATGGGCAGCTCAATGTGACAGAAAACTTTTAGATAATAGCTTCTGCATTCTAGGCAAACAAAGTAGAAAAAACTATAGCCCTATCCCAACTCCACCAGTGAAGGCTGAGTAGAGAGCCTAGATGTCTACTCTTACCAAGCTGTAAAGAAGTGTCCCAAAGCACTGCTCCACCAGGGTGGTGTCAGAGAAGGCTTAATAGAGAGCTGAGACTCAACTCTGGGTGATAACCTGATGCCTGTGGTATTAGTGGAGACACCTTGGGGAGTCTGGATTTCCTGTCTGACCCAGTGGTAATGGGGCAACTTTTCATCTTGTTGGGATTCACTTGGGGTGGCTGGCAAAATATTAGGGAAAGTTATAGATTATAGTCTCAAACCTTTTGGAAGCCTGAAAGATTTTATTGGGGCAGCCTGGTCCATTATGTTAGGGAAAAGATAGGGATGATAAGAGACTTTCCCAGTTTAAATCTGTTTACCCCACATCCCTTTGTTTGTATTCTAACTGTTTACTCACGTAAACTTTGTGTGGGATGATCCTCTCAGGGGAAGGTCAAAGGGGAATTACCCATTAATAGTGTTTACTCTGGGCCCTGGAACCTAAAGCTTTTATCATTCTTAAAATCACTCTTTTAACCATGTTAATTATCCACAGGCATGTTAACTTAGAGCCTCTGTTATAAAATTTTTACTGAATAAATGTGTGGAGGGACGGGGGTCTTGGTCTATTGGCAGCAGTCACCCTCGGAAAGCAGCTGACGACCATCCCTAGCCCACTTGGATCACTGAACCAGGTGTGAGAGTGCATTTATTCATCCGTCATTGAGTCAGGGTCTGCAGGACAGACCTCTGCAGGTGGTGATCAATGTCTCACCACCTAACTGCTGGTATGGCACCAGAGGAGGTCTGGGGAAATTTCCTGACTTTTCTTAACTCACAGTGGTAATGAGGCTGCCTTCACTGCAGTGTCAGTGGAGACTAAAACATAAAGGGATTTTCCTGTAGTCTTCATTATAAGAACCTGGAGAGCTCCGGGAGATATGACTCTTGAAAGTGTGCCCCCACCCAACAAACCAAAACAAAATTGGGCCCTCAGGAGTTTTAAAATATGCTAGTCCATATTCATCATCCAGGAAGATATCAGTTACCATTTAAGTGTTCTTACCAGTTGCCGGCTCTGGCAGTGGCCTCTGCTCCTAAGCTGGTATTCTCTGTATTCACCTCTCTCTTTAGTTTTGGGGGTGGTTCTTTGCCCTATGACTTCAGTTTTCTGGTTGACTTAGGAGTTGTTGATTCAGCTTTTATTCGGTCAGTGTATTCAGTTTTTTACTTGTGAGGATGGGAATAAATACTCCCAAGCTCTTCACATGTTGGTGCAGAAACCGGAAATTCTGTGTTCATTTTTACCCTTTTTTTTCTTTTTATATTGCAGTTTGGATAATCTCAACTTTCTTCAAGTTCACCAATTCTTTCTTCTGTCAGTTCACATCTGCTATTAAGCCCTTGTAGTGAATTTTTCATTTCAGTTATTGTACTTTCCAATGCCATAATTTCTTTTTGGTTCTTTTTAATAATTTTTATCTTTATTGATATTTTCTATGATGAAATTATTTTCGATTATTCTCATATTTAGTTTTTTGGACATGGATTCCTTTAAACAAATTTAAAGACTTTAAAAGTATTTTCTAGTAGGGTCAATGTCTGGGCTTCTTCCAGAAAAGTTTTTATTTATTGCTTTCCCACTTCTTTATGGGCCATACTCTCTTATAGACTTTTTTTCTTATTGGCTTTTTTGAAAACTGGACATTTAAAATAATATAACATGGCATCACTGGGAATCAGAATCTTAACTAAAACTTTTCTTTGAGGGAAACAAAACCTGAAAAGGGGAGATTGAGTATTACATGGCTTAAGAGAGTATTTAGGCATATCCACTTCCATTCGTGCTAACATATATCCGGAAATGGAATGGAATTCAGAACTCCATGAAAGGGAGCTGATGTCCAGAGGATTGATGTCACACAGCCTGTGTCCTGATTGGCACAGAAGCTGGAGCTAGATTATGGATATCCATTCTGCTAGCTCTGGTGGAAGACTGTTTCTAAAAGCAAGCTCTTCAACTTTGGATGTTAATCATTAGAATTTTCTTTCTCAAGTTAAAGGTTTGAGAAATTCCTGATAAGATGTCCTATTCCCTGAAGTTTACTTTGACTGTATGTTTTTTTTACTGTTGGCTTTCATCCAGCTATGAAGTGTTAGAAGGTGGTAAGTATGCTTTGGCAGTCAGATTGTTTATTCTCCCCTGGCTCACTTTTTTCCAGTTTCAGAAAGTTAAACTAATTAATTATCCCAAATTAGATTTCTTGGGAGAATTTAAGATTTAGGAGGAAAAATGTCAGTTGTCAGACGAAGAATTGTAAAGTTCTTTTCCTAAAACATGCATCATTTACAAATGGATTTGCATAGTCTCAGTATTGTTGGACAGTAACATTCCCACAGAAGATCTTTGAGCCTGATATCCAGTAAGGGGTCATTTCTGACTCTGAAAGTGAGCATAGCTCAGGAGGCCCGGGTGTTGGGGAGTGATGCCATCAACTCCAGTGCAGGCCTGCTTGTTATTTCCAGCTGCATATCACAATCTTTCCCTGTGAAAGAGAAAGATTCTTCCCAGGGTCTGTCTTTTTGATATCCTTCTCTCTGGACTTTGCATTTCAATTCCTTTTCATTGACAAATAGGCTTCCCCCTCGCTGCCACTGCCCACCCCCACCCCCACCCCCCCTACCCCCATCTCTGGGCCAGCTTAGGATCTAGGCTGCCCTGTGAAGACACTGGTGTTTTACACACACAAACATCTATGTTTGGGGTTCCTTCTTCCTCCACTGAACATTGCTTAGTGGTTGTGTTGGGGGCGGGAGGCCACATGGGCTCACTGCTTTGCTTGCACTTCTCTGCCTAGGTACATCAACGTCTTTTGACCTCCGTACAATAATTATGCTTGTCATTGCTGGTGGTATCCTGATGGCCTTGCTCCTGCTGGTAGTTGTTGTGCTCTGTCTTAACTTCAAAATAGGCAACGCACTAAAGTGAGTCACCTGGGGAAAAGGGAATAACACTCCCTCAATGGGATATCTGGGCTCCCTGTTGGAGCAAGTTTATTCCTTGCTACTGTGGCCAAATTCCTAGGTGAGGTCAAGAAGAACAGGCAGCTTTGAAAAGGCAAAAAGGCAGCTGAGTATAGAATCTTATTTGTTTTCCTTCCTGGCTGGGTTTTGTAGAATGTTCTCAGCTTGGGGCTGTGAGTGTCAGTGCTGCTTGGCTGTCACAGGACCTCACCAAGTTTACCATCTGGTGTTTAGTTCAGCACCTTGGCCAACCCTCCCTCTGTCCTGGGCACTGTAGGCTGAAGATTCTGTAGGGGAGGCTGCGTGAATGAGCTCTGCCTTGTGCTCACGTGGAGGACAGGCTGCTGGATTGATTTCTTCTTGCCTGTGTTGGGAGCTCTCCATTTGTTTCTGACGGCCTTGGGGAAAATAACTGGGCCTCTAGATCTCAGGGACAGCTGAACTGTGTGAAAAACCTGGGGGACAGCGGACAAGGGAGGGTAGGTCAGATAAGAGAAGATTGCAGTTTGGGGAGAAGACCCTTTAAGTACAGTAGAGATTAGTTGTCAGATGCAATTGTGTCCCCATTCAAAGGAGTTCACAATGGCACATCCGGGAGCCCTGGGCACAGCTGAATGCAGCACCTTCTCATCATTTCTGCATCTTGAGGGCCTGCAGTAACCAGCTGGGTGACTTTGCTTGCGAATTCACTCACTCTTACTTTTATAACCTCAGTTTACATTTATAGCAATCATAGGAGAGGAAAAAAATTGAGAGGAACTTGGGACAGGGGTGAGAGCTTTAATTTAGGACTGGTGTTCATGTTTGATTGGCTTCAGCACTAAACTTCCCAGATATCCCCAACATTTCTAACAAAAGGACTGAGAAGAAAAAATTCTAAGCCTGTGCTTTGTGTGTGTCTTTTCTCAAGAGCTGCAAAGGAATCTGGTCACAACCCAGACACGGTGTTGTATGCCAAGAACAGCCAGGCCAACACCATTGCCACAGAGTCTTGTCCTGCCCTACAGTGCTGTGAAGGATGTACAATATACGCCGATTTTGATTCCCTGCCACCTTGCTGTTGTGACATAAATGAGGGCCTCTGACCTAGGAAAGGTGGGCACAAAAATCTTCATGAGCAGTATTTCTTTCTTAATAGAATATTTTGTTATTCAAATCAAGTTCTAGGGATTTTATGTGTTACTATATAATTTACAGTGTTGTTTTATATACTTTTGAATAAATGTACAATATTAAAAAGAATCGTCTCTGCCTCTAGTATTTTTTATGGTTAATTATAAACATCTTTTGTTTAAATATATTTATTACTCACTTTGGAAGGTGGGGGAACTAGCTTGTAGCATTGCAATAGAAGAAAGAGAGTTGGAGTAGAAAATAAGCATCCAGCGCATCTCCCACCCTAGAAGGAAAATGCACACTGATCTTAGGACATGCCCAGTTTCAGCCCCAGGTGATCTTGTCCAGCTGGAGTTGCTCATTTAGTTGTCCTGAGGGCTTGGGTGGTTGGCATCCACTGCAGAAAATGGTGTCATGTTGTCCTGACACCTGTCCTGTTGTCCTGTCCATTTGTGCAAGACAGTGAGAGGAGCCCGGCGGGACCTCCCTGTGTTAAAGTTGTCTGACCTGTGTAAGATAGGCCTGAGCTCAGTGGCCTCAAAAGGACATTTTGAAAACCATATTCCTCCTGCTGCAACCCCCAAATCTTCAGAGCATGTGGCTCCTTTCTGGGTCACGGTAACAGTGATGTGTGTTGATCTAGCCATCAACATCTTCAACTGTAACAGGAACCATCAGCCAAAGGCCAAAGCCTAGACTCCCTGACCACAACAACAGGCAGCAGGAAGCACCCCTCCCCACATCTACTCCCAACTGCCTTCTGTTCTGCTCCTTCCCCTGAGCCTTCCTGGAACCCCTTTCTAAGCATGATTCCCCATCTGTAACCACCATGTGCACTCCTCTCATGAACTAAACCCTTGCTTGTGACCATCACATGTATACTGAATGTAAAGAATTATTAGCTAGTAACAGGTGGTAACCTACTAAAAGGGGGTAAAAAGGAAACAGAAGTTGCAAATGAAGGAAATAGGTGTGACATGTAGGCACATAAATGGGCCACATGTGGGTAGAGGAGCTGCAGATGTGGGTAGAAGCCAAGCACCTCCTGGAGGCTGAGCCTCGAGCCCTCACATACTTGGGAAGAGGCCAAGTCAGGGCAGCCTCCAGCTGGAGGTCACCTGTCCCCCTCAAGTTTCTGGACACTGTCTCCATCCCCTGCCTTTGAATTTCTGTCACCAGCAAGCTCTGAGCAGATGGAACACATACAAATCCCCTCTTAACCCACCCACTGGATGGCCCAGTGCCTGGACCCAAGAGGCCTGTGCCAGGGCCTCTCTGCATGGGCAACTACACCTGGTGCAGGTATTGCAGGGACCATGAGGGAGGCAGGTGGGACAAGGGTCTTCAGGATGCTCCCATTCGCAGGAGGGCAGAACACCACACATGGGCTTTAGAGCCCTATGGACTCGATTCCCATCCCAACTCAGCCTTCACCAGGGAAAGTCCCTTGACTCCTCTGAACCTCTGTGTCCTTGATGTGAAGTGGGGACTTGCACAGGTGACAGGGAAGAAGCAGTGAGATGAGGCAGGGTGACCCTACAACACCCCATGGTTCCCAGGAAGTTGCCAGAGGCCTGAAGGTGGCTTCTCTCCTGACTTGACCTGGAATCCTGGGTCCTTTACCAGGGCCACTGACAGAGTGTGGTCATGAAACTCTCGCACTCAGTGGAGAGGGATCAGGGATGTTGAAGATCCCAGCCATGGGTGAGGAAGAGGGATCAGAGGGAAAGCCCAGGGTGGGGGTGAGATTCGTGGACACAGCTGCAAACAGTTAGTAACCAGAAGGATGCCCCACCTCAAACACCTGTGCCCTGCTAACTCACCCCAGGACACCCAGTCCCACCTCATTCACAGCCAGACCAGGCAGATAGGAATGGAGCAGAGACTTGGGGAGGGTCCAAGCTCCTCCTGAGCACCAAGTCATGGCATCTCAGCTGCTGCCTTTCCCCTGCAGCATCAGGTGTGGGCCCAAAAAGGAATGGATCTCCTGAGTCACAGCATAGGACTGCACTCTCTCTAGGGAGGTGTCCTGGGCTGCAGCACAGTCAGAACAACAGAGGGGCTGACGGTAGCCAGAGGGTTTTACCCTAGGAGACACAGCCTACATTGGTGTTAGAATGCCACAGAGCTGCACAAAGTTTCTTCAAAAAGTAGCCAGTCCCGGCATTACTCACTCAAAATGTTCCACCTGAACTTAGGGTAAAACCCAGACTCCTCATTTGCCCTGGGAGTCCTTCCCTATCTGACCTTCTCCTGCTCCTCTCCATCCTCCCCTCCCAGCTCGCTCCTCTCACTCACATACAGCCAGGCTGTTCTTTCTTCCCTACTATTGTAGGTGTGCCCATCTAGTCCCTGCCTCAGGGCCTTTGCACTTGGCCTCTCTTATGCCTAAGATGCAAGCTCCTAAGCCAGGGTCACACACGAATGCCTCCCTCTTATCTTTCTGCCTTTGTTCAGATTTCATCTCTCAACATGCCCTCCTTCTCACTGTCAGATTTCCTCCCCACCCCAAGCAACCACCATCTATGCAGTCATCCTGTTTATTGTAGCTACAGCTCCTGTCACTATTTGAATTCTTCATTTATTTTTGTTGTCTAACTCTCCACTTAGAATCCAAGTTTCATGAGGGCAAGACTGTCTCTCACATTCAATTCTATGTTGCTTAGGCCCTAGACCAATAAGTAATATTTACTGATTGAGGGAATGAATGAATGAATGAATGAATTAAAAGAGGGCAGCTCCCACCCACCACCACCTGCTTCTCCCAGTCTCGCTGTGGACACTGGGATTTCTTTCTTTCAGCTTCAAAACACCATACCAGAGTGACTAATTCACTTGCTTCAGCCTCTCCAGACATAACCGGCTAGAAATCCCTGTAGGGAAATCTGGATCTGCACTCTTTCCTCTTCATCCTCTACCCTCTTCCCCTCTGCTACAGGGTCAGCTACCAGGCAGGGCATCTGAATGTGCCAGCTGGACCCAGATTTTGCCCAGGTGCTGCACCCCCTGCCTTGCCCCACTGGCCTGTTGTTCCCCCACAGGTTCCCTTCTCAAAGCAGAGCCCTGAAGACTTCAGATGTCAATGAGACCACCTGTTTCTGATGTGCAGGCATAGAAGAAAGGCACAGCTCCCCATCAGTTTCAGGGAAAACAACACAGTGCCTGCTGGGAACCAGCTGCTAGAGATCCCCACAAAGAGCCTCTACTGGGGGCAACATTTCCAGGAAGGAGTTGGGGAGAGAGAACCCTCACTGTGGGGACTGCTGATAAGAAACTAGTTGCACAGCTGCTCTGTTCTCACACAAATCTACCCCTTGTGTGGCTGGAACTGACATTTCCCTGGAGGTGTCCAGAAATCTGATGTAACACAGAGCCTGTAAAAGCTGCCAGTCCTTAAGGCTGACAAGCCCCTTGCCAAGATGGAGCTTGTAAGGAGGCTTATGCCTTTGACCCTCTTAATTCTCTCTTGTTTGGTGGAGTTGACATTGGCAGAGGCTGAAGGTAAGAAAACAACCAGATTTATTCACTAAAACAGAGAAGTTCTCTTCTTAAGAGGCCTCTTTCAGAATTTTTCAAAGTGTTTATGTCTGTTGGCCTCAGTTCAGAGGAAAATGTACTCTAATACTCTTGGGGGGCAATTTTAAATTAGTTCTAATTTTATTTGGGCTCATCTGACAACATCAATAAAAATATCAAAAGTGTATAGATTTTACTGAGTAATTTCACTGCTAAGAGTTTATGTTTTGTAAATAAGCATAAAAGTGTCCAAAGATATAGGTATAAATATGTGCACTTACATAATTGTAAACAACGACACAAATTTTCATTGTTAGGGTAAATCCATACAATGGAACACTCTTTATGGCAAATTAAAATAACTCTGATCTGTAGTGTGTCCATAGTCTACATTAAGAGAGAAAAAAGATCTGAAGTTTCTACAATATGATGGTTCTTATGTTTGAAATATATACATTCGAGCATTTTAAACATGTAGAAATAGAGAAAAGGAACAGGTGTAGAAGTGTTTACACCAAGGTTTCAATGATGATTGTTTCTGGGTGGATGGGGTTATGGGAGTATAAATAAAAATAAAGCTTTGTTCCTATGTAGGTAGAGTTTTTGATGATTAGTCAAAATCTTGGTGGGATTTTGAATTAGTACTAATTTTATTTGGGCCCATCTGACAATGCACATAAAATATTAAAATTTACCAAATAATTAAAAATATTTTATAGTTGGGGTTTCACTACATTGCCCAGGCTGGTCTCAAACTCCTGAGCTCAAGCGATCCACCCGCTTTGGCCTCCCAAAGTGCTGAGATTACAAGTGTGAGCCACCATGACCAGCCCCTTACTGGGTAATTCCACTGCTAACAGTTTAGGATCCAGTGATTTTTCCTCTTCCCCTTTTCTCTTTTTTTCCTATTTTTTAAGGTTTATTAACATATGATTTGCATACCATAAAATCCACCATTTTAAAGTATACAATTTAGTGTTTGGTAGTATATATGCAAAATTGCGCAAACATCACCACTATCTAATTCCAGAACATATTCTTCACCCCCAAAAGAAACCATCTCAAGCCCAGCACAGTGGCTCAAGCCTACAATCTCAGCACTCTGGGAGGCCGACATGGAAGCATTGCTTGAGGCCGGGAGTCTGAGACCACCCTGAAAAACATAGTGAGACCCCAATGCTAAGAAGTTTAAAAAAATATTTTAGCCAGGTGTGGTGGTACATGACTGTAGTCCCAGCTACTCTGGAGGCTGAGGTGGGAGGATCACTTGAGCCCAGGAGTTTCAGGCTGCAGTGAGCTATGATTGTGCCATTGCAATCCAGTATAGGTAACAGAGTGAGATTCTCTCTCTCTCTCTCTCTCTCTCTCTCTCCATATATATATATATATATATATATATGCTAATGTTGCAATGAATATTAGTGTACAAGCTTTTGTGGAGATATGTATATATATGAAGAAACCGTATTCATTACTAGTCACTCTCCATTTCTCCTGATGTCTCCAGCACAAGGAAACCACTACTCTACTTTCTGTCTCTGTAAATTTACTTATTCTGGATATTTTACATAAATGAAATCATGTAATATATGGTCTTTCACTTAGCATAATATTTTCAAGGTTCATATATGTTGTAGCACGTTTGAATACAATCGGCCCTCAGCACCTGTGGGTTCAGTATTCATGGATTCAACGACCGTGAATTGAAAACATCTGAAAACAAATGGTTAGTTATGGAGCATGTATAGACTTTTTTCCTTGTCATTATTCCCTAAACAATACAGTGTAGCAACACTTTACACATCATTTACATTGTATTGGGTATTATAAGTAATCTAGAGATGATTTGAAGTGTACAGGATGTGTGTAGGTCATATGCAAACACTAAGTCATTTTACATAAGGGACTTCAACATCCATGGATTTTGGTATCCACAAGGGTTCTTGGAACTAGTCATTTGTGGACACCAAGGGATGACTGTACCTCATTTCTTTTTATTGCTGAATAATATTCCAGTGTGTGGATAAACCACATTTTATTTATTAATTCATCAATTGATGAATATTTGGCTTATGACTAATGTTGAGATGAATATTAGCGTACAAGTTTTTGTGTGGACATTTGTTTTTATTTCTTTTGGGGATATGACCAGTGATAGAATTGCTGGGTTATGATAACTGTATGTTTAATCTTTTGAGGAACTGCCAGACTGTTTTCCATGGCAGCTGTACCACTTTACAATCCCATGAGGAGTGTGTAAGCATTCCAATTTCTTCACGTCCTTGTCAACACTTGCTGTTTTCTGTGTTTGACTGTAGCCATCCTAATGCATATGAAGTGATATCTCATCGTGATTTTGATTTGTATTTCCCTGATGACTAATGATGCTGAGTTTATCTTCATGTGCATATTGGTTTTTATAGATCTTCTTTGGAAAAATGTCTATTCTGGTTATTTGTCCATTTTAAATTGGATTATTTGCCTTTTAATTACTGAATTGTAAGAATTCTTTACACATTCCAGATATCAAGCATCTTTTAAAAACCATCCTTTTTTCCCCAGGTTGATCTATAAATTTAGTGCAATTCCTGTCAAAATCCCAGTAAGATTGCTAAATAGATACAGACATGCTGACTCTAAAATTTGTATGAAAAAGAAAAGGAATTGGAATAGTTAAAACAATTTTTCAAAAAAGCAGTAAAGTTGGAGGATTCATGTTACCTAATATTAAGACTTTTTATAAACTACAGTAATCAAGAAGGTGTCATTTACCAAAAGGATAGACAGACAGATAAATAAAACAGAATACAGAGTTCAGAAATAGATACATACAAATATGGTCCATTGATTTTTGACAAAGGTGCAAAGGCAGTTTAATAGAGAAAGGACAGCCTTCTTATCAAATGGTCTTGGAACAATTGGACATCCATATGCAAATAATGAACTCAACCTAAGCCTCATTTCTTATACATAAATTAGCTCAAAATCGATCATAGATCTAAATGTAAAATGTAAAACTATAGTACTTTAAAAAGAAAAACATAGGAGAAATCTTTGAAACCTGGGGTTAAGCAAAGAGTTCTTCGACACCAAAAGCACAACCCATAAAAGAAACTATTAATACATTGGACTTTATAAAAAATTTGAAACTTTTGTTTTGGGAAATACACTCTTAAGAGGATGAAAAGACAAGCTACATATTGGGAGAAAATATTTTCAAATTGCAGATGCAACAAAGGACTTGTATTCAGAATATATAAAAAACTCTCAAAACCCAACTAATAAAAGCAAAAAGCCAAGGGGCAAAAGACTTAAAGAAACTTCACCAAAAAGGATATATGAAAGGCAAATAAGAACATAAAATTATGTTCAATGTCATTAGCCATTAGGGAAATGCAAGTTAAAACCATGATGGGATGCTGTTACACGTCTATTAGAATAGCTAAACAAAGCAGTACAAAAACCTGACAATAGTGTGTGTTGACAAGAATGTAGTGTAACTGGAACTCTCATATATTGTGGTGGGATTGTAAAATAGAATAGCCTCTCTGGCAAACAGTTTGACAGTTTCTTATGAAGTTAAATATACACTTAACATATGACCCAGTGATATCACTCCTAGGTATTTATGCTAGGGAAATAAAGGTTTACTTTCATATGAAAACCTATTAAAAATATAAACTATCCTTCTTCAGGCCCTAATATATTCTTTTTTATGGACCATATGTAGAGAAGTTACAAATACTTCTCCTTAAGGGTTCAAGACGGAGAAATCAACTGCTTGTGACTTACTTTGGAGTTAGCTAAGTGCCATCCACAATTAGCTGCCTGCTTGTATGTATATTACATGTGGGAGGCAGCTTCCTAATCTCTTAGGGAGGGGAAAGAGGCTGTTGTTGGCTTTCCTCAATGCCCTTTGTGGTCTCTAACAGGAAATTCAAGCTGCAGATTCAGTCTGGGGGGTGCCAATATGACAGAGACCCACAAAGCCATGATCCTGCAACTCAATCCCAATGAGAACTGCACCTGGACAATAGAAAAACCAGAAAACAAAAAAATCAGAATTATCTTTTCCTCTGTCCAGTAAGTAGATGCTTTAATTTCCTAATAAGGGGGTAATGAACACTGACCACATTGGGGTGGGTAGGGGGACTCTCCGTAGAAATAATTCAGCTGCTGCTAGAGGTGGTAGTGACACTGACAACCATCATGATGATGATGGTGATGAGGATGATGGCTGATAGTCACTGATGATGGCTGTGTGCCTGGCACTGGCTCACAGAGGTCCTTCGAGGGTAGCACTATAATAGTACTACAAACACAGCAAGGCTGAGAACTTGTCTGAGGTCACACAGATAGTGAGTAGCATGACCAGGGTTAGGAGCTAGCTGGTCTAGTTCCAGTTTCTTGGCCCTAAAATACTAAACTCTGGTTCCAAATTTTGCTATGCATTTGAATCAGCGGGGGAACTTTCACACATCCAGACTCCCAGGCTGTACACCATATAATTCAATTATAATCTCTGGGGGTAGACTCTAGGCATCAATATTTTTTATTTTATAGTTTTTATTTTGAAATAAGTATATGTTTATAAATGCTTTTTATAAGTGCACAGGTGACCGCAGGGTGAGGCCAAGCTGAGAACATGACTCTGCCCTGCAGTGTTGCTCAGTGTTTCCTGAGATCTGCCTCTAGCTAATCCTCTCAACAACCATCTGGGCAGATGCAGTCTAATCCCCATACTATAGATAAGAAAGCCAAGAAAAGTCACTTACCAGGTCCAAGACTAAAAAATAATAAAAGTGGGATAGTAACTGATTCCAAGCAGCCTTGCTCCTGAGCCCTGACTCTTACACCTGTCCCAGTGGTTCTTATACTTGATCATACATCAGAAGCATGTGGCAGGCTTGTTAAAGCACAACTGCTGGGCCCCACCACCAGAGTGTCTATTATCTTTCTCAGATGGAGTGTGTGGGACCTGAGACTCTGCATAGCTAACAAATATCCAGGTGACGTCAATGCTGCTGGTCCAAGTACCACACTTCTGAGAACCGTAGCCCTGTACCACTGAAGTTGGAATTTATGCTTCAAAGAAGCAAAAGAGGCCTCAAATTTCCTGGAAAGGTTGCTGAGAAACATATATGCTATTCTTGCTGTGTAAGGAGAGAGGGGAAGAAAAAGTGTGGGAAGAGCAAGGGAGGGGAGAAATTAATGTTTTACATCTATTGCACACCTGTGTGCCAGGCCTGTGGCAGTTGCTTCATGTTCAGAATGTTATAAACCTCACACAATAATGAGAAGTAGGCTGTGATATCCCCATTTTACAGATGAGAAAACTGAAGCAAGAAAGGTTAAATCACTTCTGTAAAGTTATATAGCAGGTAAGTGACTGAAGTAGAAGGAGAACCCAGATTTCTCTACCCTTGCATTACTTCCTATTTTGGATGTACATCCTCTGAGGGTATTTGGAGAGACTCTGTCAGAATGGGCAACAATCTAAAACCCTGGGCTGTCCTGTCCAAAGAAGGGCATGAGACTGTCCTTCAGCATGAGGAAGTGGTGATATAAGGGAAGGAAGGAGCAACTAGGGAGCCGCTAAGGTTTGCTTTTCCTTGGGAAAGGTGGCTATGGAAGAAGGTTTCTTCACCTTTCTACAGCCTTGGATATCAAGTGTCAATGGGAAACAATTCTAAATAAGAAGGTTCATCAAAGACTTACATGGACATGGGGAACTGGAGAGCTGGAAATAGGTAGAAGGAAAGGAATTCTGGATTCCATACCCATCCTCATCATTTACTTGATAAAAGACATAGGTAAAGCAGTTCACTTCCCTGAGCCCATTAAGGTTGGCAGTTTGTGGTTTGATGCTGAGGATGGTGGGGTTGGTGATTGGTCTTGGAGAGGTTTATATGAAAACAGATGTGCCACCACTTTGTCAATTGACATGCCTAGGTGAGCAATTGACTCTGCTCTGCAAACTCCCCTTTGCTTCTCCAGCCACAGTTGTGTTTTGTCCACAGGCTTGATCCAGATGGAAACTGTGAAAGTGAAAGCATTAAAGTCTTTGACGGAACCTCCAGCAATGGGCCTCTGCTGGGGCAAGTCTGCAGTAAAAATAACTATGTTCCTGTATTTGAATCATCATCCAATACATTGACATTTCAAATAGTTACTGACTCGGCAAGAATTCAAAGAACTGTTTTTCTCTTCTACTACTTCTTCTCTCCTAACACCTGTAAGTCCTCATTTACACAGCCTTCACCCACGTCTCCTGCAAGCACAGGTTACACAATCTCCTCGTATAATATTCAGTCGAGTATATTCCCTCAGAGTCTTCTCTATGTGGGAGAGCAGTAGTTCTCTAACTTACATGTGTGTAAGAATCATCTGGAGAACATGTTAAATCACAGATTCTGGGCCCCATCGCAGATACTGTGATTTACTGGTTCTGGGTGGAGCACATGATCTTGCCTCTCTAACCAGCTCCCAGATAAGGCAGAGACAAGGGGCTGATCAGATGGCTCCATGTTGAGGGGTACCGTGTCAGAGCCCAAAGCAGAGACTCTACATCCAGCCCATTTAATAGTAACCCTGGTATCCTCTGCAGTGCCTCTTCAGGGACCGCACCTCCCTATTCTCTGATTCCTGAGATCTTGGTTGGGGTGGTTGAAGCTTCATGTTTAACAAGCCCCCCAGATGATTCTGACAAAGAAGATTGTCTGGAGAGTGTATGCTGGGAATCTCTGGTCTTACCTTTGAAATTTAAGACTGTCAGGTGGTTGGAGGCTACACTTACAGGGTTCTGCATTCACAGTGCTTACATTCCACTGTGACCCAAAGCAGAATGCCAAGAACATCTGTGAGTGGGTTCAAGGGGAGAGGTCCACTCTGGATTTCTTTCCAATGCCCGGTGATGACCATGTCATCCTCCTGCTGAAACCACTGACTTATTGGTACCAGCACATCTCCAGAGTGCAGCAGTCAAGGTTTTCCCAAGCTGGACCCAGGCCACCTTCTCAAGCCTTGCCTCTAGCCACTGCCCGGCTTGCACCCTATGCTTCAGCCAGTCTAAAGTGCTTTACATCTCCAAAAAGAGCTCTCCGCATTGTTTCTCCACATTTCGTCTGTCCAGCTGCTTCCTTATGTACTTACTAGGGAAAGGTGAGACCAAGGGCTGCTTCATGAAGGCTGTATCTGAGCTGAGCTTTGAACAATAGCATGATGAGAGTGGGTGGGGGTGGCACTCAGGGAAGGAGGACTCACCTCTGCTGGAGCTGACACCTGAGGAGTCATGGGAAGAAAGGGAGGACAGAACAGAAGGCCACATAGTAGTGGCTGATGAGACTGGAAAGCTGAGCTGGTGAGAGTGAGGAAAAGCCTTCAAGGGAGAGTGTGACTTTATTCCCTATGGCTCAGTTCAGGTAATGGGGGTATCTCCAGATGCAACACATCTTACAGCACAGCTTTAATGTGATTTGTTTGGCAAAAGTATAAAGATTCACTCTCCGCCCTGCACCAGTGGGCAGAAATTTCAATGATAAAGAAGGATGAAAGCCTCAATATGTGACCCATGGGAAAGACAGGGATGGAATCATACTCTGAAGAGACATGTTACGCTTGATACACAACACAGAAATGAAAAGAAGTCTCTATTTTGATGTACATTCTTGACCAACTTCACATCCATTTCAGCTATTCCAAACTGTGGTGGTTACCTGGATACCTTGGAAGGATCCTTCACCAGCCCCAATTACCCAAAGCCTCATCCTGAGCTCGCTTATTGTGTGTGGCACATACAAGTGGAGAAAGGTTACAAGATAAAACTAAACTTCAAAGATATTTTGTAAGTACTGCTGCCCAGTTCTATTGGAACAAATGCAGTAACCCCACCTGGCAACTGGTGGATTTGGGGAGGAGAAATTATCACATGTAATTCCCATATATGGGCACTTTTCAAAGAATTGCTGTACAAAGGAAAACAGTGATACTATTCCACTGAACTAAGTTGACTATTTTCCTGAAAATTCTGAGGTCCTTGTCAGGAACCATCAAATCCCCAGATGTGTCATCGTAAACCTGAGATACCACTGAAGGAAAAAAAATCCATAATCGCTTAAGAGTAGGATGGTTGGGATGTTAGAACATAGAATTGAATTGGTTTGAAACTCTTTTTCACCAAATGCCCTCATTCTCTAGACTAGAAATAGACAAACAGTGCAAGTTTGATTTCATTGCCGTCTATGATGGCCCTTCCACCAACTCTGGCCTGATTGGACAAGTCTGTGGCCACGTGACTCCCACCTATGAATCGTCATCCAACTCTCTGACTGTCGTGTTGTCTACAGATTATGCCAATTCTTACCGGGGCTTTTCTGCTTCCTACACCTCAATTTATACAGAAAACATCAACACTAGTAAGTCACGTTTTATGTTCCTTAGCTATTTTGAGCTCTCTGAAGATTCCATACATAGAAACTATTAATTTTTAGCCTTGTGGCTATCCCTCTTTGCAAGCATGTCACATATAGTTGGGGACATATTCATAATCTTAAGCCTGACGGTCATTTCTGTGCATTGCTTGTGCAAGAGGAAATTAATGATTTTATTAACCTGCAAAGGATTTCTGCAGACAATATGAACTGTTTCCGTTAATTCCTTCTGCAAAGACGCAATAAAAACATCTAGATTCTAGTTCTAAGCAATGTCACAATGAACACAGTAAAAAGTGAACTGCTTGGCTATCTCAAAATTCTGATTACTGTTTAGGGCAAAATGGTTTTGACTCTTTATATATTTACTCATATGCATAGCTCTTCAAGACCCAGCTTTTCTAGCTGGCATAAACATGACCATCCTTTTTTTAATTTTTATTTTATTTTTTCCCCTGACAGCATCTTTAACTTGCTCTTCTGACAAGATGAGAGTTATTATAAGTAAACTCTTCCTAGAGAATTTTCACTCTAATGAGAATAACTTACAACTAAATGACCCAACTTGCAGACCAAAATTATCAAATGTTGTGGAATTTTCTTTCCCTCTTAATGGATGTGGTACAACTAAAAAGGTAAAGTGAAGTACTGATAGCTGGATTTTGTCAAATGCTGAATGCATGTTGGCCAGTGCAGTCAGGGTAATGTTTGCTAGCTGCTGTAACAAACAACTCACAAGTTTTAGTGGCTTAACCGCATGATAAGCATTTGAAGGCATGTAAGTGCACATATCCATTCATACATAGCTGCCAAATTGCTGCATTCATTTTCAGGATAACTGGAGGATGGTTATCTTTCCCAGAAGGTAAAGAACTCTGAAAACTCACTAGAGAGAGTTTGAACGTCTATGTTCAGTGAGCTTAATAGCCTACCAGTAACACATATGCAGAAAATGTTTATACCTCTTATTTAGTAAAAATCTAGCTGAATTTTTAGGGTCTTCTTCTTTTCCTTTTAAAGACAGAAAAAAAAACCCATTATCCTTATTTTAAACATGAAGGATATTACTGGAAATTTGAGATTTGTTCTACATTTTCTGGAAGTTTCATCCAAAATTCCAAACATTTTCAACCTTTGGTCTCGTTAGGATTCATACCATAAACTTTTCACTCAGACATTAAATAATAAACCTAATTGAAAATAATGGAGGCTAATCCAGAGGAATTGATAAGGACAGAAGTAAATCTTCATTTCTTACCAAAAATGAACACACAGGCTTTATTACACTTTGAACTCCTAGGGAAGGCAGTTAAGGCAGTCCCTCTTGCAGACCCTTGGTATACATATACTTTAGAAACTGTCCAGTTAGCCACATTAACTTAGCGCTCCTTAAGGAAAGCAATATATGGTAAGCTTTAATGTCTTTTTAAGGCTGGAAATCTGCATTCAAAATTGATTTTACTGTAACTGAAAAATTTCTGATTCTATCTTCAGGTCTTTCTAATGCAAGCTGTATTTCTTATCTCATACTTTCTTCCTTTCCTAGAATATTTCTTCAATGAAATACATTTAAGGTTTATAGTATTTGGACAGGAAAGCTGTTATCTCGTGATTTAAGAAAATTATGTCTGTACCTGCAAATGTTATTCACATCTATGCTCTAAAATATTACTAGACTTAAAATATAAAAATTGAATTCTTTCTCGTTCTGCAGGTAGAAGATGAGTCAGTTACCTACACCAATATAATCACCTTTCCTGCATCCTCAACTTCTGAAGTAATCACCCGTCAGAAACATCTCCAGATTATTGTGAAGTGTGAAATGGAACATAATTCTACTGTGGAGATAATGTACATAACAGAAGATGATGTAATACAAAATCAAGTTGCAGTGGGCAAATATAACATAAGCATGGCTCTTTTTGAATCCAATTCATTTGAAAAGACTATACTTGAGTCACCATATTATGTGGATTTGAACCAAACTCTTTTTGTTCAAGTCAGTCTGCACACCTCAGATCCTAATTTGATGGTGTTTCTTGATACCTGTAGAGCCTCTCCTACCTCTGACTTTGCATCTCCAACCTATGACATAATCAAGAGTGGGTATGTATTAATGTAACTGATGTATATATGATATCCCTTTCTGTGGAATAACATTTTTAATAAAGTAATTTTTTGTGTTGTGTATATATACATTTTTCCTGGTACTGCATGAAATTTCATTAAATTCATTTTCATCATTTTATAAAATATAGTTACTATATACTAATTACAAATAATTTAAACATTTATACAGACACAGCTTTTATCTTCTAGAATTTTAAGCATATTTACAAAATATTTGTGGGTGAAAACAAATTTATTTTTTGTTATAAAAGCTCTATTAGTATTTTTGGGTTTTGGACATTTTGGTTATTTTCAACAAAAACCTAGAAGATTATTTCATGTGTGTCATCTTTAAAATATAATGCCATCAATAAAATATATGTAGCGTTCTTAAGAGAAAAAGTATAAAGTTCTTATTTGAAAAAAAAAATTCATTTTTTTCCTTACAAGTTGTTGGTTTTTAGCTATGTTATTTGTACTGATACATTAACGATAAGCACGTAAGGAAATAAGTTTGACTTCCAATATATAAATATTGTTTTTCTGATTAAGTCATATGGACCAGGAGTTTTAGAGTAGAAGGAACCTTGCTATCTCACCCAGGAATCAGATCTATAGTCTTAACTTGCTGTAGTATGAACTAGAGACACTGTCTTTCTGGAGAGATTTTTGGATTCATAACTTAGTTCAGAGAAAACTTTGTATCATCTCTTTTTAGTATGGAAAAGACTAAATTTGTCTGTATCTTCTAAACATGTTCATAAATTCTGTTTCAGATGTAGTCGAGATGAGACATGTAAGGTGTATCCCTTATTTGAACACTATGGGAGATTCCAGTTTAATGCCTTTAAATTCTTGAGAAGTATGAGCTCTGTGTATCTGCAGTGTAAAGTTTTGATATGTGATAGCAGTGACCACCAGTCTCGCTGCAATCAAGGTTGTATCTCCAGAAGCAAAAGAGATATTTCTTCATATAAGTGGAAAACAGATTCCATCATAGGACCCATTCGTCTGAAAAGGGATCAAAGGGCAAGTGGCAATTCAGGTAAGAAAAAAGTTATTTCATGATCAAAGAGCACATCATGGCTCATAAAAATGCTGCTCAAATCCAGTAACTCTTAAGCATGTACAGTTTAGAGATATATAATAGGAGATTTAGCAAATAGGCTGAATTTTAAGTATACAGGATTAATATTTATTGCCATCAGTTGATAATATGCATACCATGTACAGTGTAAGCATATGATACACTGATAATTTGTCATTATTCATTTGGCTTTTAAGTATAAGTGTAATGTCCTCATCTCTAAAAACAAGTTTTCTTTAGTTTCCTGAATCCTTCTTATAGATGCCATAGCAGATAATTAATCGGAAAGCAAGTATTTTAACTTTTAAATGAGTAAAACAAAATGAACCAGCATTCCACATAATAGCCTATTTGAAAAAAACTTATTTTTTCTTTTAAAAACAAAGAATCTATTATAATAATATTATAATAACACAGGGCAGCCCTGTTTCTTTCGAAAGGCTTGAAACCTGAGATCTACCCAGATGCATGAAAGGAATGATGGTAAATACTCAAGGAGAGTTTGCAATTAAATGGCTTAAGACAAGCCATAATGAAAGAAAAACTATAAGAAGTATCTTAGTTGTAAATGGCATTAAAGTACCTTTATGATCTCTGTATTTATTCATTATGATGAGAACTATAAAGGAGTATGATTCTGGTTTGTAGCAAAATATTTCTATGGCAAAAAACAAAAACAAAAACAAAAGTTAAATTTAGTGATTTTATAAATGCATTCACTAAATGGCTTACAGAGTGTATCTATAGACACTGGTTTGAAATTAGTTAAAAATGTATAAATGGAAGTTGTTATGGAAATACCATCAATATGAGAAGTTGTTATGGAAATACCATCAATATTTTTTTCCTATATCAAGGGAATGAACAACGTTTTTTCTGTTGGCAAAATGTATTTTGGCAACAATGAGCAAAGTGACCATCATAAGTGAACCTGCATTTCCGTTTAACTATTATGCTTGAGTTTTACACATTTTTGATGTGATATCAAGAAAAGAAACTAATTCATTTATATTTATATTTAATTTTAAACTTGTTTCAAACTGTTTAAATATAAATATAAATGCATTCAAATATTTGATAATGGTTCCTCTGTATTGTGTTGGCATTATGCATTATACATTAATTCATATATAAGACTCATAAGCAGGTGCTGAACAATGAGAACACATGGACACAGGGAGGGGACCATCACACACTGGGGCCTGGGGGGTCAGGGGGGGCTAGGGGAGGAATAGCAGGGGATGGGGGGATTGGGGAGGGATAGCATGAGAAGAAATACCTAATGTAGATGACGGGGCGATGGATGCAGCAAACCATCACCATGGCACGTGTATACCTATGTAACAAACCTGCATGATCTGCACATGTACCCCAGGACTTAAAATATAATAATAAAATAAATAAATAAATAAAAGAGTTAAGAAAAAGATACATAGGATATGTAGAGATATTATAAAAGTTATCAACATTTTATAATGTTACTACTTCTTAAATCCTGATTTTCATCTTGTTTCTAATTACAGGATTTCAGCATGAAACACATGCGGAAGAAACACCAAACCAACCTTTCAACAGTCTGCATCTATTTTCATTCATGGTTCTAGCTCTGAATGTAGTGATTGTAGCCACAATGACAGTGAGGCATTTTGTAAATCAACGGGCAGACTACAAATACCAGAAGCTGCAGAACTATTAACTAACAGGTCCAGCCCTAAGTGAGACACATTTCTCCAGGATGCCAAAAGAAATGCTACCTCGTGGCTACATATATTATGAATAAATTAGGAAGGGCCTGAAAGTGACACACAGGCGTGCATGTCACTGTGTCAGCATGTTTCATTACAGGACAATGGAAATAAAGAAATACCATGTCAGTTGGCTCTCATTTTAGGAACTAAAGATACAAAAATATTACATGAGGCCAGGTGTGGTGGTTCATGTCTATAATCCCAGCACTTTAGGAGGCCAAGGTGGGTGGATTACCAGAGGTCAGGAGTTGCAGAACAGCCTGACCAACATGGTGAAACCCTGTCTCTACTAAAACTACAAAAATTAGTGGGGTGTGGTGACACATGCCTATAATCCCAGCTACTTGGGAAAGTGAAGCAGGATAATCACTTGAACATGGGAGGTGGAGGTTACATTGAGCCAAGATTGTGCCATTACACACCAACCTGGGCAACAAGGGCAAAACTTCATCTCAAAAAAAAAAAAAATTACAAATTGACACCTCTTTTTATAAATACAAAACATTTTAACCAAATATTAGGTGGAAAGGTAAAGGCTATTTTTACTTAAGAAAAGTAGCCTTCAAAGGTAGATGTGTTTATTTTTTATACAAATATGCTACTCTTTGAAACATCAAAAGTTAGAATTTCTGAAACTAAAGCATGAGAAGGAGAGCGGCAGACTCCTTGCTTCACATGCCTTCCTGCTTTCTTTCTTTTTTTTTATTTTTTTAATTTATTTTTTTGAGACGGAGTTTCGCTCTCGTTACCCAGGCTGGAGTGCAATGGCACAATCTCAGCTCACCGCAGCCTCCGCCTCCTGGGTTCAGGCAATTCTCCTGCCTCAGCCTCCTGAGTAGCTGGGATTACAGGCATGCGCCACCATGCCCAGCTGATTTTTTGTATTTTTAGTAG